CCAAAGTGGTCCCAGTGGTGATAGGAGTACTTGGGGCTGTGACTACTAAGCTGGGAGAGTGGCTCCAACAGATCCCAGGAACAACATCAGAGCTCTCTAGGAGTTCTGCAGTGTTAGGAACAGCTAAGATACTACACAGAACCCTCAAACTCCCAGACCTGAGATTGAGGAAGACACATACCACCCATAGGGGTGAGAGGGGATTTTTTGTTTTTTGTTTTGTTTTACATACATAGATACATACATGGAAGACTGATTTATCTCCCCAAAGGGAAAGGAGTGAATGAAATGTCTTAGTCACATGTCTCTAAGCTACATGGCCAAGAAGTGGATTATAAATCTTTTCTTTGTAATTGCCAGAAAGTCAATACATGTTGTGATAGCTCTATCTTTCCCACATACCAGAGCTATGGAGAAGATGCCAGGTCAAGTGCCCCTGGAAAATAGATGATGGCAGAGGAAATGACCAAACTGCTAACTCAAAGCAGGAGGTAGGGCCAGGGCATGCTGGCTAGCGAATTCTGGGAGTTGAAGTCCACACATTTTCAAGTTGCCAAAGTTGAGAAATACTGCTTTAGGCAGAAACTATTGTTAATATTTAAATCTGACAAAGAGATGCAGCCTATCTCATAAATATAAATTACATATATTTTCAAATATATATTTTTCTCACACAGAACATCCTGGCAACACGCTTAACAACTTCTTAGACATTGGTCGTAAAAATATGCATGTGTTTGTCTTTATACTTATTAACCTGTATCCTGCCAGAAGATTCATAAGTGTTGACTTCCCAGCTCCAGAAGGACCCATAATTGCCACCAGTTCTCCACTACTGAACTTTCCAGAAATTCCTTTCAGCAAAGTCTTGAAACCTATAAAAATGGAAAGAAGAGAGAAAGTTCTAAAGTTTAGAAAACACTACATGTTTTTCTAAGATAGATAGGTACCTTGTTATAGTCATAGACCAGCTCAAAAACAAAACAAACAAAAAACAAGCAAACAAGTGAGACAACAAGTAAAAACCTCAGTAAAACTCAGTAATTGTAACACTGGTGTGGTCGAGGTGTGATGCATTTTACAAAACTTAGCCATCTTAATAGAAACTAAACCTCAGCCATGTTAACATAAATAAAATGACACTGATTGGATGGTAGCAACTGTAAATAAAACAGTTCCAGATGGCCTGGAAATCTCACTAGATGGGTGTTATTAACTGCAACTGGATATCTTTGTAGTGGTTCTGGAACTCCTTCACCACAGTGACAAAGTCTTTGTCCATGTTTTTTTTTTCTAATATTCTAATATTTTTCTATGATTTTGTAATATGTTTGCATCAGGTCCAGCCCAGGTTAAGACAATCTTTCAGTTTTCCACAGAGAAACCTTCTCATTACAGGCCTAAAGATTCTGGTGGTCTGGTTTGATGGGAAAGTTGTAATAAAATCATGAAGACAGCTCCACCTGTTATTTTTTTCCCACTTCCAGGGTAGCCCCGTGCCCCACATTACTCTGTATGTTGAACAACCGAGCTCATGTATTTCCAGCTCAGCTCCATTTCAGCAAAAAAAACTACCAGCTTAGCAGCTCTCTCTCACAGCAAGTGCTAAGGTTTTCTTAAAACAAAACAAAACCACCACATAAGATCCTGGGACAGGGATGGGGAGTTGAGCACTGATTGAAGCAGCATTTTTGTGATCTTGTATTGGTCAGCTGGAAGGGCTCATATGCTTTCCCCAGGGTTTCAAATCAGTGGCAGTAAGGACACTCATGAGTCAGTTTTAAAAGGTTCCACAGAGTTTGGCAGAGGAGAATGATGACAATTCTTTACATTTTCCTGGTTCCTAGAAGAAAAAAGTCCCATTAACCTGGATTCCCTTAATCTTTTTCCCTCACAATATACTACATGCATCCAATACACTTCAGATGTGCCCTGGAGCATTCACCAAGACACACATCTTGACCACATTTGGGAGATATATCAGAGGGTGGGAAGGTGAAGGATGCAGTCAGCAATGTCCATATTGCTGGGGAAGGATATAATTGCATGAGGCCAGTAATTATTGTGGATAAAAATTCTATACCATTTGATTAGCTGTATTCCTTTTTTCTTTTAGAGGTCTCTTAATAACAGCACTCATGCCTGTTTGTCTACCTGACTTTTTAGTAGTTAAAATACATTATTAGATTACAGCACAATGTATTATGTCTTGATTCTTGCTTATCTTGACTACAACATTCAGGTGTGATGACATTTTTCTCATATTTCTTCCCTTATTTTTGTCATTTTTGTTCCCTTTTCCCTCATGTATGTGAAATAGAGACTGGGAGATCTTAAATGTAAATGTAATTAAATGATTGAAAAATGTAAAAAGAGGAGGAAATGGAATAAATAAGAGCACTACGTGGGTTCATCCCATTTTATTTCTGGTGAACATGTTTTTGCATTATCTCCCTTGTACTACAACAGCAATAAAATAAGTCCCTTAAGAACTACAGTTTATCTCTAGCCTGAAGGAAGAAAAATACCGAGGTGAAGAAGATCCTGAGAAGGGGCTGGAAGAATTATTTGAAGACCGAATTTTGTATATTTTCATCACGTGAAGCAGCCAGGATTCAATTTATGAGAATTCTAAAGTGACTAACAGATCAACAGATATTTTAGAAAGCTGGGTGACATTTATCAGACAACATGCTATGACAGAATTATCTTCTTTTTCATCATTTTGCTCAGTTACTTTTCCTCTGCCTCTCAATCACCAAGCAAAGTTAGCTGAGCAGGCTAAAAAGAAACACTAGCCCATAGGATAACAACTCCAGAAGGGTAATCTGTCAGGTTCTCAGATAGCTGAATGTAATAAGGAAGCAGGCATTGAATCTATCAGAATTGTTTGGGAGGTGCAAAACATAAACATTCATATAAATATTCCTATTACTACAAAGATAATGCGTTCAAACACTAGCAAGCTTTCCTTGAATGATTATTTAGAAGTTTCCTTGAGATTTCACCAAAGGCTGCATTTTAATTTGGTGAATAGATTAATGTGGTAAATACAGCTAGATATCTAGATCTTGAAATACATAAAGGCACTTATATTTAGGACTGTGCAGGTGTGCATATAAATTAATATTTGTTTTTAGTAACCATGGTTATTCATTCAGGACATCTATGTGGTCCATTTCATACACACCTACTGCTTTGTTACAACTCATAACTCAAAACTTACATGTTGGTTCTTTATTTCATGGATCTCTTACAATTCAGGGCTAATTTCATAGGCATCCAAGGGATGGGGCAGCAAACCCTGTGACATATATACTTACATATGATGTCAGGCACAAGTAAAAGCAGGATTTGTATTGTGACATCACTACTTACAGGCTGTCATTTTTTATCATTGCAGACACTTATGGCAAATTTGCACCTGTCAAAGCTGAAGCACTGCATAACCCTGATATCTAGCTACAGTTAATCACAGAAGCACCTGCCTTGAGCCAAAGTAAGGACTAGAACATCATAACATTTATTCACAGGACGATACCAGTCTTTCTCTGACTTACCAACACACTGAAATGTCCCATGGTCAGTCAACCACAGCACTGTGGTGAGTTAAAGTTTATAAACAACGGTTCCTTTTTCAAAATACAAAACAGACAATTCCTACTTTGGAATTTCAGCTCACAGATTATTTCTTTGAACTCAATTTTCTATTGTGACAAAACACACAGCTCAGATACAAAAGCAGAACATAGAACGCTTTCAAAATATCTTCCAAACCCTAAATAAAGGGGGGGAAACCCAATCCACCCCTTTGCATCACAACCTCACCCACAGCAACCCTCAGCCACTCAAACTTTGCTCACCTTTATTTTGCCCACTTTGCCTGCCCTTTGTATAGGGGTGTGATTATTTCTGAATCAGTCCAAATTACATTTTAAAGAATTTGTTTTCAGTTACACAATATGTCCCCAGTGTCTATTGATGGTCTGAAGTATATAAGTGTACAGGCAGAACTCAGACATGAATTCTGAGTTGGAATGTTTGGACAAGGTTTTATACTACAATGCTGGTACTGTGATCTCCTAAGGCTCCCTTTCTCAGCCAGTGATTGGACAAACCCTTAGCAAAATTTATTCTTTGGCCTTCTGTCTCCTCATTATTCATTAGCACTGGAATGGACAAACTACAAACATTTTAAAACAATGGCTGTTGAATATTAACAAATATCACAGACTGACTTTGTTGTCCAATTATTTTTTTAAGAGCTATGGTTGAATTATAAAGTAAATTGATAGTTTAATTTATAATATTTTATAGCAGCCTCCAGGAAGCCTCACCTGGCTGCTTCAAGGCTTTCCCAGGCTCTTGCTGCACACACCCACATGCAAGTGGCTTGATTCGGCCGCAGTAGAAGTTTTTGGCTCTGCAAACCACCTATAACTGCAGGCAACCTGGGAAAGCCTCAGCATTTTTTTTACTTTTATAAAGATTAAAAGTGTACTTGGTGTACTTCCAAAATCATTTTGAAAATGTAGCTGAAATGATTTTGGGGACCCCTTATAGTACAGGTAGTCCCCGGGTTAAGAATGCCCAGTTTAAGGATGACCCATAGCTAAGAACGGAGTCTATTGTAGCAAAATTCGAGTTAAATACATAATGATTTGAGTTAAATACACAATGGTTTGAGTTCATTACACACTACTACTTATACAGTAGTATACAATAACACTGTTCCAGCTTTGATACAAATTTGACTTAAGGACAGACCTTAGGAACAGAACTCATTTTTGAACTGGGAACTACTTGTATATGAAGGAGAAATCCCTACTTCTCCTTATACATTATTTCATTTAGCAGGATTACAATGCTGGTCTATGAAGCATCTTATACCATGCTGCTTATTAAGCTTCTGAGTCATTCCTTGTAATGTACCATACAAGTATTTTGGCACTGTTTCCTTTTTAAAAGGAAAGGGTACAAAGCAAATTATCAAATTGGATTTTGTTAATTAGTACTGTAGGCCAGAGGGCCCTTAAAACCCTATGATGTACATTATCCTATTTGGAAATAGGTGAAAGGTCTTATGAAGGTCTACCAAGCAGAGGCAAGTTGACTAGGTAATACCAACACTTGTTCTTTGTAATCCATTTTCAACTATTAAAATACTCAGACACAAATAACTGGACTCTTTTTGCTATAGTGAGGTGAATCTTCCTTGGAACGTGTTGACCCATACATTTTATACTGGCATCACATGTATATATCTGATCCTTTCAGATATACTGTATCTTCTCTTCATTGCTTGCCATGTATTTACCAAGAATCAAAGAGTTTTGAAGTGGCTGAGGATACCACTAAAAAGCCATTGCCTGGGAAAACAAGCTACATCAATACAGGACAAAACTCACATAAAGGCTATATGATACCTGAAAAAAACAAAGCCTTTTCTCTACCATCAATACCATCTGTAACAGCCTTCCCTAACTTGCTGGCTGGGAATTCTGGTAACTGGACTTCAAATATATCTAGAGGCATCAGGTTAGAGGAAACTGATTTATGCAATATCATTCTGGATAGTGAATGGATAAGAAGAACTCTGCCATTTTGATAATTTACTATCTTTTGCACAGTGACAGAGACAAAAAGCTATATATAAGCATAGCTATCATTAATCAGTGTGCGGAGCACCAGATGCTTCCTGTATATTTCTTACACATGTGATTGTCACTTGTGCTAAATTGCCAACACATGTAATTGCTCTGTGATCATATCTCTGAGAAAACATACAGCCATTTCAAAACAGAAGTTGAATTGCAGCCACCATAAATAAAATATGTGGCAAATTTTTATAACTGCCATCATTTCACAACAAAGT